CATACCACAGAATGATTAATAACAATTTAACCTCTGTATGATACCATAATTTGAGAATATGATTAATAACAATTTACCCCTGCATGATAAAATGATACATTTAAAATATTTAAAAGTTATGAAAATCCAAAAAATAAAGCTAAACTCTTATTTAAGACGCAATAACACGCCAAATAAATACTAATTCAGAAGTCAAACAACAAAAATCAGCGTTATGTTTACAAAATTTTCACAGGACTAGTTTCGATGGTTTTACCGAACCACCATCCTCAGCTGCAAAACCGCAAATGAACAAGATAGGAAATAATGATTAGATAAGATAAGAAAGCCTGGACAAGAATAAGCAAGTGGCGCCATCTGTTGGTGAAACCAGAACTAAAACATAATTTCTTTAAAGGCCGAAGGCAAATTTGGATTGGAATTAGGATCGCTAACTAGAACAGAAAGTTTTTTATGAATGTGAAATGCCTCTAGAAAATGTTAGAAAAAAGAAAACACGGAAGTCTTCCGTTGCTCAACATTGTTGGTCCGAAAATCACTTTTCCAATTTTTCTGCTGCCAAAATAATTCAAAAAACATCTTCCATTGGAGAACTGGATTTTCTAGAGGCATTTCACATTCATAAAAATCTTTCTGTTTTAGTTAACGAACCTAATTCCAATCCAAATTTGCCTTCGGCCTTTAAAGAAATTATGTTTTAGTTCTGGTTTCACCAAGAGATGGCGCCACTTGCTTATTCTTCTCCAGGCTTTCTTATCTTATCTAATCGTTATTTCCTATCTTGTTCATTTGCGGTTTTGCAGCTAAGAATGGTGGTTCGGTAAAACCATCGAAACTATTCCTGTGAAAATTTTGTAAACATAACGCTGATTTTTGTTGTTTGACTTCTGAAACTCTTATTTCTTTGCTTCTTGCTGCAGAAGCAAGTGTTAGAATGAAACGCATCACGGTTCCGACCAACATATTTGCATAGGATAGAATGAGATGCTCCTTATACTTTTATATATTCTTGCTTGAAGTCACCAAAATTAATTTTTATGTAATTAATACAACATATACAAACATATACATAGATAACATTTTTATGTAATTAAAGTTTAATAACATAAAAAGACATAACTACGCATCAGTTAATAAAAATTTCACAACCGGAATTTCATCTGGCACCTAAGTAAATTTACATTATTTTCAATAAGATATTTCTTGAATTTATTCAAGTTAACGCTTTTTTAATTGCTGCATCTACCTGAGGAGTTTAAATGTTTTGTCTCCGTGCCAAAGAGGGTCGCGACATTCATATTCCGATCTCAAGTTAAATGATAAAAAATGCACATTCTAATTAAAGCCCAAATATTTTATTGCATTAAAACTATTACTTTTTTAAAGCAGAACGTTTAGAATTATTATTCTTCCAAAATACATTTTAATAAATGCAGTTTGTGGGATTTTTGTTTGAAAAAACTGTGTGAATCATAGTAAATGAATCTATTAAGAATTATGCCCTTAATGGCTGAGTGGATAAGAAAGCGTAATATTTTTAGCTCAGCAAGGTTCCCACTTCTGTTAACTGGTTAACAGAAGTTAAGTGTTTTTGTAGTTTCTTCACATTTAACGTCCCATATTGCGTTTATTGGCAACATATTGCCTTGTTGTATTTAATAAAACAAACATAACTTTTCAGACCATTCATAATGCACTATCTCACTTACCTGTTGGTGCGCTCATGGTTTTAGTAGTCAGCAAGTCCATTTGGTAACTGAGAGATCTGTAGTTAGAATTCCAGCTAAAGCAAATTTGACTTTTCTCACTCCTTGGTTTGAAAACTTCTAATGTCTCATACTTTAAGTTGAAATATTTATCGTTGCGTATGAATTAACAAAATTACATTAGCATTTATTCTGTATTAAGAACGTGATCTGAATTTAAGATTCTCTGCATTTCATTATTCTGGTGTTACTGATAACTTACACTCTGTATACTGATAATTTACAATCTTCCTAAGAAGATATTACGTTTTTATGAATTACAGAGGTGTTAGATCAAAGCCCTATCCAGAAATTTAAATGTCTTTTGGATATGACAAAACTGACATGGATGATTTTCATTAAAGGGAAAAAATGCTGTCATAGATATCGTATTTGGAGAAAATGTCTTAAATGTAAAATAAAACTGATTTTAAGTTAATAAATAAAATTGATTGTAAGATTTTGGATAGAATGGGATAAATTCATGAAATACTCCAGCAACCACCTCATTTACCCAAGGCACTATCCGCCCAGTGAAACTTGAGCTAAAACATTTCGTCGAGCTTTACCACTGGGTAACTGGCGGTCCAAGTTGTAAGTGGAAATGCAATTTAACTAAGCTTCAAGTAAAAGTTCCAAAATAGTGACTTGCAAATAGAGATTTATATAAAATATGTGAAAGATATAAACTGTTGACTGATATTTTAATCAAATATTTTTGGGACAGATTAACGTTTTCTGTGACGATAAGAAGGAAACTGTGCCAAATTATTTCACTCTTTTGTAATATTTTAATTTTCTTAAAGTTTACAAGCAAGTGTTGTACTAAATATTTAGTTCATATATTTAAGCAAACTCAAGCAGGAATGTTTTTGTAATAACCCAGTTACCTTTAAATATACTTACAAGTGTTGCATCAAAGACTTAAATCGCAGAATCAAATAGTAAGTTTAAAAAGCCATTTTTAGGCACAGTTCTGATCCTATCTCTATCTGTATTTCAGGAATTATAGCATATTCCGTAATTATTTATTTAAAACTCTTGTTTTCAAATTGTAAATAAAAAATTCAAATTCAATCTCTGACAAAAAAAATATTATCAAAGTTAAAAAATGGTTAACTGAAATTAAAATCCCATTAATAATCGACGGGTCAGAATCTCTCTGCATTTTCTATAAAAAGAAATAGTTAAGCAGCTAATTTCATTTTAGAAAGAAACAAATTTTACAACAAAACAATATTTAGAAGAAACAAAAGTTGAAGGAACAAATCTTTCTTTTTAAAACTGAACTTCTAAGTCATTTTATTCTGTTTATTTTATTTTTTCCTCATATTTTTAACTTTAATTCAGTTTAACAGGTTTCTACCAAGACTGAAAATTCTTGCATATAAATATTATTGGTATTATATGCATAGTCCGATATATGTACATATATTGTTACAGTTTTATTATATCCAATATATATGTTACGGTGAAACACCGAAATCTGGAGAATGTCGACTTTCACCGGTGAATGTCAACATTCATATAGTCTCTTGGTGTATGTCCAAAATATTTTTTCCAAATACTCTTATTTCTGACTTACACCGGTCAATGTCGACATTCACCATGTACTAATGGTGAATGTTGAACATATAACAATATTATATTTTCTTCTCCGTAATTCAGTCGCGAATAAACGCACTTGAAACTTGAAATAAGAACTTAAGAACATGAGAACCTAAAACACACAATACATTCAAAATGAGAAAGGAAAATAATATAAGTTAAAAACTGAGTTAATTATACAGTACGTTCTAAATGAGAAAATAAAATAACAGTAATAAAAAAACTTACGAAATTATGTGATCCAAATCTTATTTATTGCAACATAATTAAACTATTATGGCACTTTATGACCTCTCTTTTCGACTTTCACCAGAGCATATCTGTGATTGTCGACATACACCGGTGAGGGTCCGAATATACAAGAATGTAGTGAAATATTCTGTCTTTCACCGACGTATTTGGTGAATGTTGATATTCTCCCGTGAAAGTCGACATTCTCCAATTTCGGTCTTTCACGGTAACATATACACATATATCGGATATAGAAAAACTGTAACGCGTGCAGGTTTGTAATAAATTGAATTCACACAGAACCGATAATTAAATCTCATTAATAAATGCTTTTAATAAAGGAAAGGGGATAGTCATCAGAGTTCTAAAAAAAAGTAAAAGATAACCTTCACCAAATAGAGTGTATGAAGTTTTTAATGATACTTCCAACAGATATGTAGATAATTATCTCATTGCAATATTCTCAAAGAAGAAAATTACATTAGAAAACTCAAACATTACATTAGAGACTTCTCTTTTCGTAGTCTCTGATTAACATCCAATTACAGTGCTTTGAAAAAACTGCTACCTAACTGAGAGCTAAAAAATACCTTAAAAGCTGTGGAAATATGGATGTGACATATAGCAGAAAATTAGCAGATACAAAGAAAACAATTAGTTAGTTGATGAGGTAAAATCCCCTTTGAATGCATTTAAACATAATTAAACTGTCAAGCTAAGTTTACATCCTAAAAAAAATTATAAAAATTTGAGTTTTCTGATTTAAATATCTTTTACAGAATTTTTTAAACTTATCACGTCATCCGGAAAAAATTAACTTCAACTGAAAGCATTTAATGTACCATAAAAACATATATTTTCAAACTTTAATCAAATGTTCCACCTACTGCGAATATCTTCTGTATTCGCTTCAGTAGTTCTAGCGTCAGTTATTTCGATTGAGACTTAGTGATATGAAAGGATAGTGTTTCAAACAACATTTGCAGATTGAATATAGTAGCTGTTATGCATTTTTTAAAAACTGCAAGGATCTTGCCTTTGTCATTACAATAGAAGAAATCCTGAAATTATTCTAAAATAATTTTATCTTTTTCCTCGTATTTTTTAACTTGAATTCAGTTTTACAGGTTTCTACCAAAACTGGAAATTCTTGCATATAAATATTATTGATATTATATATAAGGTCCGATATATGTGCATATATTGTTACAGTTTTATTATATCCGATATATGCACATATATCGGATATAGTAAAACTGTAACGCATGTGGGTTTGTAATGAATTCAATTCACACAGAACCGATAATTAAATCTTATTAATAAATGCTTTTTAATAATTTATTCAGTATACTATTTTTTAATTTTCTCAAACATTATTTTGATTTGAATTTTTAAATGTTCGACACATTTCAATAGCAGTGGAGAACCGGGTGTGGAGGCATCTCAGTCATCCCTTCGCTCGAGTGACACCCAAAATGAAGAAAAAAAGAAGCTGCCTTCTATCCTCAAAAATGCAAAACTGGTAGTTATTATGGCTGTGATGATTTTCTGTGTGGTGAGTGTTATTTAGCTATCTAATTAAATAGGATATTGTTTAAAAAAGTATGCTTTTACCCAACAGTGAAAGAAAGGTTCACTGAACGAAAATTTAATTTTTTATTTAGTTCTATAGTGGTTTTAAAGCTAATCTCATTTCACTTTTCTCTGCTACTGACGCATGTCGCCGTCTGGATTATACAGCAGTCCTAAATATGTCAGCTTATTTTGCCAAATAATTATTATAAGCACATTAATAAATATTGAGCAGTTAACGGTACCTTTACCCAAACTGACACTCACCGTATGATTTACAGTTAAAAATGTGGGCAGTGTGTTATCAGGTTTTTTTTAATTATGAGGGAATTATCAGGTTTATTAGGATATTGTCAGGCTCATTCAGTCACTTGACCTTGCTTATTTCCTTGTGTTACAATCAATACATAAATAATAATTTATTCCTTCAGTTTATAGCGGCTACAATATTGAGGAATGGTAGATATGCCTTCTAGATTGTATTGCTGGTTGGGCACAAGGTTGTTTTATAATTTATTTCTCCAGCCTTCTTAGCATACCTTCGTGGTGTAGTTGTCAGCACGCTCGACGCGAATTCTGGAGGTCCTCGGTTCGAGCCATAGCTCATTTTTCAATATCCCGCTTCCAAAATACCTAATGACTCTACAGTGGCGCCCGAACGAAAAGCGGTGGTGGATGATGATTCCCCACTACCAGTTTTGGCGACTGGATCCTCTAATCCCCAGTCGCCCTTTAAAAGGGGGAGGATAAGAAGGTATTTCTCCTGCCTTCTTAGCATGCCTTCGGGGTGTAGTGGTTAGCACGCTGGACGCGTATTCCAGAGGTACGTAATTCGAGTCCCGTAGAGGGCATTGCTCATTTCTCATCTTTCATGCTTCAAAAACACCTAATGACTCTACAATTTGTCTGTTTTGGTTTCTTTTTTCGTCATTACAAAATTGTTAAAAATTACTTCTTTTCGTCATTAACTCATATGCGATATGAAATACATATTTTAAAGTATCTGCTATGTAGACTTCTTTTCTATCAAACTTTCAAAATTATTGAACCATTATTTCTGCTGTAATATCTGAGACATTTTGTAAAGACTCTAATCTTCGATTTCCTTTCCCATCATTTTAAACTACATTTTGTAGTTCCTTTTGATTGTATTTTATGTTACTTAATCAATTGTTATGATTTGAATCCTTATTATAACTTTTCTCCGTAGTCTTCACTCAAATGCTTGTGATTATTTAAGTTTAGATTTTGAAAGCCTTAGTGTTATAGCTATTGGCAACCTCGCATACAGTTACGTCCTATCGCTAGCTCTGCCAAAGATGATTTTTAACGTCAGCTACCCATTTTTCTACCCAACGATGAAAGCACGCCGTTAAAGCACTTCTTTCAGCTGAGGTAGACTATTCTGTAGTCTCCGACTACATTATTTCAAATTAGAATTTCAAGTTAAAATATTTTGAATACCAGCAAGTGGAGGCGTTTTGTTTGAGCACAGCTACTGCTTTCTCTTAAATTTAAAGAGTTAATAAAAAAAAGCTTATTTTAATTTTCGCAGGACTTTTTCATTTTGATTCAGACTAAAACGATAACTTGCTTGTCGGTGTAGTAGGGTCTGAAGAACATTGATTTAAGGGGACTCGTACACCTTAAAACCCATAAGATCTTCGAATAGGTGACTGTTGCAAGAATTGGGATAACTTATTTATTTTAAAAGCAATTACTTCCAACTTTTTACAGCTGACTACATAATATAGCTGCTTTCTGAAATAGTCATCAGAAACTTTGTGTTGCCACAAAATTTTTTTTATAATTTAATCCGCTTTGTGAGAAACGTTTTCGTCAATTTTCCATCTTGCGCGCACAGTTTAAAACATTCTGTTGTATAATTTAATTCCATATTTAATACATAGCTTTTATAACATTTGGAAACTACTGTGAACCTAAAATTCTAAGAATTTATTGAAATTTTCATTTTATTTGGAGTTGAGTTATAAAATGTAATTTATTAAAAAACCTGTAATGTTTTTGTTATAATTTTTTTATACTAAAATATTCGTCAAATTTTTGGTTTAGTTAGAAAATAATGCCCATATAAAGAATTCCATGAAATTTCAGTACCCTTAGCCATTTTTAAAATATCATGCGCGCAAGGTGGAAACATGACGAAAACTTTTGTCACTAAGCGGATTAAATTACACAAATATTTGTGGCAACACAAACTTTCTGATGACTATTTCAGAAAGCAGCTATATTATGTAGTCAGCTGTAAAAAGTTGGAAGTAATTGCTTTTAAATTAAATAAAATATCCCAATTCTTGCAACAGTCATATATTCGAAGATCATAAGAGGTTTAAGGTGTATGAGCCCCCTTAAGCTTGCATACAAGTAGAATGCTACATACTTAAATTTAGAAACAATTTAATGAAACTCAGTTTTATGTCACGAGAATTAAATACGTTTTTTTGCTGTCTACGAAGGTGTTGTGGCCGCATAGTCCTAATTCAAATATTCCACTTATATTAAAAGTAACTATATTTGTCAGATTTTCATAAGATAAGAACAACGTCATGACGTTTTGATCAAACCAAAATTTTGCAGATGGTTTCTCCTCTCTTCATTATCTGTTTTAAAATATGAACTGTTTCACATTTACAGTATAAACCGCAAAGAAAAGATGCAATTTCGCACACATCAGAAATTAAAGTCCACTTTGTATGAATCTCCACAACTCTCGTTTTTTAGACATGTGGTAGCGTAAGGTTCAATCATCAACTCTTGCTCACCCTGATGATGGTATTTTAAAATATATATTTTGAAATTTGTTTAAAGTATTCTTACGTTTAATAAAACTTCGATGACGAGCTTATTCTGCTTTAAAAATTGCCATTTTTCCGTTTAAAAAACAACTTATTTCTCAAGATTCCTCGATTATTCAAATGTTAAAGCGAAGTTTTGAACTAAAAGAACCCCAAATTACGCAAAATACCTCAGTTTTGTAGGCCGTGTCTTGCTTCAGATCTTCACATCTGGATAGTAGAAGCATATTTACTTCATCAAGCTGGGAAAAACCAGACCTTAGGCGCAGCTGCTTTCCGAGTTCCTTTTAGCCAAATTCTCAGATATCTTCTCTTATAAATTGATTTTATCATGTCAGCCGTCATATTACCTTACGTGGAAATTTGAATGCAAATATTTTGCTTTCATAACGTTTAAGTGTAACTTTAGAATAACTCCGTGTGGATATTTAAATAGCAACTTTGAGTATTTTTGATATATTTGCAGAACCATACGTCCAGAACCATTTACTCGTACTATATAGTTACTTTTCACATATTTTGACACTTCGTACTAAATAATAGTCAAATCTCAAATATATCATTCAATTTATTATTAACTAATATATATTTTTAATTTTTAGGTATCACTATGCTTTTTCAAAGTTCATGAAGGTACATGGAATACAGTTGCTTTTTACAGTGGCCAGCCGGCTTGTATCCTTTACGAAAATCAACTGTAAATTTTTTTAGAAATTATTTCAACTCTTTTGCCATGTATTTTCATAAAAATTTTAATTTTATGCCAATTTATAAAATTAAAATTTTTTATTTCAATACACGGTAAAATACATTTTGCTTTGTATTGTCATTAAAATATTTTACTCTTTTGCCATGTATTATTTAAAAATATTAATTTGAGATGTTTAAAAATTATTTGAGTAAAAAATTTAAATAAATCTTAAATAAAACCTTTAAATATTATTTAACGAAATTTCACCAGAGGAAAGAAAATTCTAGGTCCTATTTTAAATTTTTCGAATGTTAAAATCATTTACATTGGAATTTCTATATCTTTGTTTCGGGATCAATAATTATGACAAACAAGAGAAAAGACGAACTCCTCCTCCTACCGCCTCCGCCAGGTACGAGTAGTCAATAGCAAAAACCCATTTTAGAACCGTAAATATAGAATCAAGGTTAGAATGGAAAATGAGTCATATTTTCGATTTTTACAACTTTTTGGTGATATCAATACTCGCTTTGTTGTCTCAATGGTTGACGGATTATAAACTGACTGCTAAAAGACGGACAGATAATAGAACTATAACTATATTCAGGGGATTATTCAAAAATATTTCCGCATTCATTCGGTTTAAAATGTTTTCAAATGCAAGAGCTTCCGCACTTCATTTTAGTACAAAGAAAAATCAAGAGATATGAAAGAATATACAGTGAAATAATGCAAAATTAAATATTTCTGTTATAAACCTATAACTGGGGTTTAATTTCTAAAATTGGAAGTGGCGGAGATGTACAGAAGGCTGTTAGGAAAAAATAAATTAGTAACTATTAAACTAATAAATTAATTAATAACTAAAATATTATTAATCAAAACTGAAAATAATGTGAAGGCATAAATAAAAATTTAATAAATTAGTAATTTAAAGACGAATAGCTAAATTATAAATAAAATACTAACAATCGACTTATTTGGGACTGTGCCTGGACTGCTGCTGGAATTAGTTTCATAAGTAGAACCAACAAAAATTCCGGCTAAATTTAAACCCTGCATAAAGACTATGATAAAAATCAAAATAAAAAAGAAACAAAGACCATTCTTTTTCTAGCATACCCATGACAAAAGGTAAAGCAGTTAGTGACACTAATGAGAACAGAAAGAATACTAGAAATAGTATCAGATGGGTTTAAATAGTATAAGTTGGAAATTAAATAGCGAAACAGATCTTCATTAGTCTTTTCAGTCAGTATCTTATTATTTCTGAAATATGTGTGATTAAGCTTTGTTCAGATTGCTTAAAATAATATCTAGAACAAAGTTTGCCAAAATTTTGATAGTGAGCCATTTTGATAGTAGTCACCTCAGTACGTTTAGTAGCACCCTTAAAAATATTTTCCGTTTGAGGTAATAATAAAAATCAGTATAAATTCATATTGTAATTGGCAAGTTACCTGACGAAGAACGCTGCAGCAATATATTATCTTAAAACTGAAACTATTCAAGAGTATCCTAGAGGATTCAGAAGCAAAAGTTAAAAGGGGCTTTGTCCCTAAGAATACTGCTGAAATTTCAGAATATGTTTGAATACTTGCCTCAGTAGATAATTACATCTTTAAAATTCTGAAAGCATTCATCAGTATATTATTAATAAATGACTCCAAAAACAATCTTATAACTCTAATTTATTTCGTGAAATTGCAGAAACTTGAAATATGCAGGTAATTATCAAGTAACATAAAATTTTAGAATATCGCACATGTCTGCTGTGTTAATAATAACCAGATAAATACGTAATAGTAAAATATAAAATACGGTTATTCAAGCTGCAATGATATGTGGAATATATTGGGAATAGAAGTAAGAAGCACTTTTGTTTCACGCAAAGAATAAAGTATCTTAACGTGCAGGTAAAACAAGAATAGTCTTTGGAATTAAGGGAGAAAGCAAGTATTATCAGAGGCATAATCTCTTCATTAGTAGTAGTTGGAAGTGATTTGATAGAATGGTTAACGGGAAGGAAAGAGAATAATAAGGGACAGGTAAATGGTGGGACCCAGTAAAGGGTTGTTGGAAATGAGGGAAGGAATTTTTGGTGGAAAGGGCATGAGCAAGGGAAGTCTTTAACAGGAACGTTTAAGTGTGGAAACAAAGAGAAACTTCCAACACTGTCTCACCAAGACTCCCTGCCGAAATAACGTTAGCTAACAAGCAGAATGGGACAAGTATAAAAAAATCGTCTCTATATTGTAGTTATAAACTGAGATCAAAATTAGGGTTCCGTACAAATAGCGATTTTCTTCCTCCATATTTAGCTACATCCTTCCAAAGAGTTGGGACGAAAAATTTACCCGCGTTCATAAATTCTTTGCACTTCCTGAGCAATAAGGCTTTTGCATATACTAGGGGGAAGCTTACTGTCCACTCAACCTACACCAAAGAGCTTGTTTCCCAAAGAAAGACAGACATGCATTCACAAGTTAAAATTGGTTTTTAAGGCAGAATTTCAGTTAAAATTCCGTTTCTGAAATTCAAAGAATTTTCTACTAAAATTGTGGTTGAATTACATTAGTTATGTCCCGGAGCCCTCTCTTTTAAGAGTTAAAATTAAAATCTATCTCCGAAACAAAAAAGTCCTTAGCTGGACTCCGGTGCAGCTTACGCTCTGTGCAGAATTATACAGGAATCAAATCTAAGACCCGTAATTATTATTTAAGGTAGTGTATGGATTTTATTTTAGTTTGTTAATAGCTATTTTTCTTAACAAGCCTTTGCTTTGTCAATAGCTATATTTCTTAACAAGCCTTTACTTTATCTTCTTAATTTCTCACCTATGTTTTCCTGCCATAATGAGTTTTTAATGAGTTTATTATGCAAATAAGGTATTTAAGATGAAGTCTTGATTACTTCAGTAGGATAGCGTGTTCTGCCTTTCGGCCACGTTGTTGCTATTAGTTAAAACTTCCTATTCTGGAGCCGGTCTTAATACGTGCTTGCCAGTATACGCCGGTGATCCTTAATTAAGGGCCAACTACGCGAGTTTGATTCTGTGTAACTTTGGCTGATTAATTTTATTTAGCAGTAGTCTTATATTTTCTATTTTGAGTTAAAGCCCAAGTAGAGGCTTCTAAGTACACTCAAAAGGGTCCATCTGTAAAGCTATTTTGAGTTGCTACAAAACGGTATTTTAACCCTTCTCCGGAGTTGTTACTTACTCGCAAGAACTCAATCTCTACTTACTTTTACAGTATTCTATCTTTCAAGAAATTCTATTTTAGCTAGGATATTATAGTTTAAACAAAATATGTCATAATCTACAATGGCAAAAGTCAAATTTGTTTATCATTTGGATTAGCATTTAAGTCTCGCATTTGTTCAAACGAAAGAATTTAAATATCAAGAAATTTAAATCTATAAAAAAACTCTTAGAATATAATCATAAACTTATTACTGAAACAATGTTTGAGAGAAAAATTAAGAAAATTTATATTTTCCAAAAACAGACCGTATCCAAAGATGGTTTGGATTAAAATCCTTAAACGCTTATTGATACTTTTGTGTGTGTGCATTGGATCCAAATTTTACTGCTAGTAAGTGCTGCCTATGTGCAAGTAACAGTGGCTGTTGTTTCCTCAAGTTTTTTTGCTGCCTTTTATTAATCTTTCAGTTTAATGAAACCCTAATCACAGATGTATCAGTCACTTTTTTATAGATCTTTTGCCATTAATTGTGATATGATGCTTAATAGAACTCTATAAGTAAAGAAAATGCAAACAAAGTTTCTTACAAAACTCTCAACGAACACCTGGGCTAACTGTAATGAAGTGAGTCATACCAGAACTCTATCTGTTGCATCACCTCCTATTAGGTAGATAGCGTTAGACTTTGTTGCAAACTAATTCAGCTGTAAAACCCATTACCGTGAAAAGTTTCAGACTACTACCTATTGGATTTGGATATATCAACCTAAGCCAATAGCACTATTTTAATTTCATCAAAGCATTTGGAGCTTACTAGATTTGAGCTATTGACATTCCATAAAATTGGATATTATAGAACGAACGTAGTAGCGATCAAGATAATCAGCATTATGTTACATGTACTAGATTTGAAACTTAACATATGTACCAGATCTCAATGTCACAGAACAGATAACTTTTCCCAAAGAGATTGTCCACTTGGTTGTCAAAGGGCCTTTTCTTCCAGGAGAATATTACAGTCTCACTCGAGATTTTGTTCGCTTTCAGCTTTACAAGATTTCTGAAAACGGAACGCGTGAAGTAAGTATCATCTTTGAAAGTGCTGAAATTCTATTTTAAAAGTGCTGTATTGTGTAATGATACTTTTTTAAGAATAATATCCTGTCTCATTTACAATTTTCTTTCGTTTTTGTTGCGATCTGATAGATTTGCATTCATTATTACATTTGTTGATACTTAAATTTCCCTTATTTTAACGTATGCGATGTTTACTAAAGCAGTGGGATCCATGCCGCTTCCTCAAAACCGATTAACTGCGTGATTGTATCCATATGATCCAAAATTCGTGCACATCATAGTTTTAAACCTATGGAAATTCCAAAGTGGATGTTAGAGGCAAATCGTTTAAGTGGATGATATGTCTATACTGTTACAAGTAATATATAATCTTAAATTTTAGCTGCCATGTATGCTGTTAGCTTTAAAAATAGTGTTTTTAGATATAAGATGGATAAGAGTTTATGCAGTCTTGTCGAAAATTGCTGAATAGATTTAAGATACCTTCTCAAATGTTTATGAACCTGAGAAGATAATGACTTTCTGGTTGGTAATCTGATTTCAAAAACCTGGGATGATCACTATAAAGAAGTGAGTATGGTAGTTAGAGTAACCTACTTCGGTACTAAAGGGACCGGGTTCGAATTACAGAGAAGACATGGTTGTAACTATCCGTCCCTTCATACGACATAACAGTGGTCGCTTATTAGGTGCTTCCACAATAAACACCACAATTAACTTTCCATAAGAAGACAGAAAGGAGAAACCGAATAAAGTTCTTTGAGAACAGCTTATAAAAATATTTTTCATTTTAATATATGTATTCAATCAAATGGAGATAAAGTTAAAAAAACAGGGCATCACCATAATATCGATGAAAATAGACGAAATAAAAAGTTATGTCTAAAAATTCCTAGAACTTTAGAAACATCTTACATTCAATATAAGAGCACGTGGGCGGCTAATTCTATAAATTTCCCACAAAATTAGTCTAAATCAAATAGTTAGGAAATGAACAACTAATCTCGCTAATCAAAAAGATAACTCTAAAGTTAAGCTTGTGGAAAATCGGAACAAGTTTCTAACAGATGGGAAATTGCATTAACAGGATTATTGTTTACATTTTGCCTTTCATAATTGCAAATGCCAGAAAATTTTATCAGTCACAGTGAGACAAAAGTCTTCATTCATACGAATCGATTTCAAATTACTTAGTTCGTGAATAAGAAAAGATTGCGAAGAACAAATCGTCACGATAAACATTAAAAAACAGAAAGCATTTCTTTTTTAATAAAATCAAATTTTTATCGTAAACTGTATAGTTGAAATGAAATTTATTACTGAAGCCTGGATTGTCGAAAGCAGTTGAAACATCTCATGTCAAGCATAAACTAGAAGCACTAATCTATAGAATTCATAGCGGGCGAGATATTTCATAAATCATCTTTACTGTCAATAATTAGTGTCTTGAAATATCATCAATACAGCGAAGCCAAAATGGGAAATACAGAATTTTAAGTAGCTGAGTGCATGCAAATCCTCAAGTAGTGAAAGATATTTCTGATAGTTCATACTTGGATTTGAATAAAGTAATGCTCTTGAAAAACAAAGGGAATCTGCCTTGAAGACATTCTTGTAGAAGAAATTTGTATTTCAATATCGGTAAGAGTTCATGCTTAAATATTCAGGAAATTTAAATCGAATGACTTGTGTTCTGTTTTTACCAACTAGCTACTTTCCGACGCCTACCACATTTGCCGACAGGCACTACTTTAATAGAAAATTAATTCATCTTCTGTGATGGCATTTGATCAAAATAAGAGATTCCTTTTGTGATAATCAAACCTTAATCTAATTTTGATTATTAACTAGGAATTATTTTGTTGTGATTATTATTAATTAGATTAATTATTTTGTTGATCTTTCTAAACTAACAATCTTAATGTATAATTTAATATTCCCGTTAGGAGTAATATATACAAAAATATAAGTTACGTATTGTTTTGAAAACAATCCTAAATTTTTATTTTAATTCAAATTACACTTCTCCAAAGTAATAGGCCGTGCATGTTTTATTTCAGTTTAACAAACACATCAAATTTTATAATCACTAAAATAGTATTCTATTATTAGTGTAAGATCTGAAATGTAAATATTATCTTCTGCAGGCTTCCGATTTACAATATAACTGATAAAATTTTGGTACATACTTCTGGTTCCAAAAAAGTTTCTTATTCATAAAAACTTAAATGCTTTATGCGTCAAGGAAATATTTACTTTTGTTCCGAGTCTTACGTATCGGGCTATACATTAGCCGGGTAGCGATATGAAATATTACGATGTTTTTTCACATAGAATATTGCCTAGAAATAATTACAAACATCAGACAATAATCAACAAATAACTAACCTAATAAATCTTGGCAGAAAATTTACAAGCAACCAGGTTTTGCATAAAAGAAGAATTAACGTCCAAAACTGTATCAGCCAGCTAACGCTAAGCACCATTGGACGTGGGGAGATGCCTCAAAAAATTGCACATATTTTTTTAGTAGTTTTAGCGTTCAGTTTCCTTTTATAATGCCAAGTAATTGTTATGCTACCAAAATGTTACGGTTTAAAAAAATTTTTAAACCGTAACATTTTGGTAGTTACGGTTATAAAAATTGTATATGCCTGATTGTTATAAAATACCGGCTGTTATAAAAACTGTATATGCCTGATAAACAAATATGTCTCAGAAACCAAATACATTGCTTTGTGGTGATACAATAACCGAATATTTAAGTAATGATGAAAATTAATCTATCTTAACCTACTGTTAGAACAAAAATAAATAACTGTATTTACTCTACATTGCATGTCAATCGGAAACACAACTACGTTCCCCACGTGATTATTTACTAGTAGCTGCTTAAAACTGATCAATATTGCTGTGTAAAAGATAGCTAAGGATAAAATACAAATATAATCACCTTTTTAACCTACCTTGTAAGTTCGAACACAACGGGGTCCTGCACTGAGGATTATAGAGCTATTTAGGTAGTTATTTTCATCTTTCTATAAACAAAAGATTCCTCTTATAAATATTTGCGAATAAGAAAATAAAGAAAATGATTTGAGGGCTTCATTCCACTGAAAGAACGACAGTCGTTTTTCGCACAGGAAGAGTTCATAGTAATGTAGACTTCAAATTACTTCCTTTGATTATTCTTTCTTTTGTTTTTCAAAATGAGATGTTAAATGTTATATTATTTATCCTTCAGAGAATATCCAAAACTTGGACAGTTCTATTGTCACCCGAAAGCCATGAAAATAACATAGATTCCATTGCTGTGGCCCATGATTTCAACCTAGGACCTCATGATAAAGCTGAGAGGTATGTATGCCGTTTCTTACAGTTTTGAAAAACATTGTCAATATTAAGTGTTTGTTTACACTTGAATGTTACTTTGATTGCAATAAACATCAATTTAGTGCACTAAATATGTAACTGCGACGTATTATTTCTATATTTTTCAATTTATCTTTCAGTTATATTTAGTATAAATATAATTAATATGTATCTTAATTGAAATTATATTGCGGCTTGAATTAAAATATTCATCAGTGTTCTTGATGGAATAAAATAAACCGCTGGTCATTAAAACTGGAACACCATGAAGGAAAGCAAATACAAAAAGATATTTATTGTACATAAAGAGTATGGCATGAAGACAAAATAATTAAATTTATAAGCAATTTGGGCGTTTATAGGGGGGGGCGAAGTTAGTAGAAACAGCTGCCACCCCTGGCAGCTAAAACGGCTCTTACCCGGTTAGGCATAGAGAAGAACTGGGCTTGGATGACAGAAACTGGCAATGCACTCCCTGCTGCTTCAAGTCTATTGCACACTTCATCAACCGTATCAGGAGAGGGGTGGCGGACCAATCTCTCAGCAACCCATGACCAGATATTTTCAAAACGTGACAGATCTAGAGACCGTGTATGCCAGGGCAGCAGTCGAATGCCCTGTGTATTGAGCAAGGTCAGATCACAACGTGCAACATGTGGTCCTGCATTATCTTGTTGAAAGATGGCGTTTGGCAGGCCTCGAAGATGGGGAACATCCACTGCACGTAAGACGTCAGAAATGTACCCATCTGCATTCATATTACCGTCGATCCGAACCAGATATGTGAGTGTCGTGTACCCAATGGCTCCCCAAAGCATCCCACCAGGTACAGAAATGGTCCCCTACGGCTGATATCGGGTGCAAGCAGGTGACGTGTGGTCTCCTCGGAGCCTCCAGATACGTATACGACCATCGGAATAATGCACGCGGAACCGGGATTCATCTGAAAAGATGACATCATGCCACTCCTGTATCCAGCTTTGTTGTTCGGCGCACCAGAGCTGTCGTCTGTCTCTATGCTGCATTCTCAAGGAAAGACGATGTTAATGGTCACCGTGTGGATAGTCCACAATGCTGGCAAATGTCGACTCACCGTACGACCGGATACTGGGCGTGCTACAAACATACCTACTGAGCGTGCTACAAACATACCCATTTCCTTACTAATGGTCCATTTCCTTACTAATGTGGTTGTACGATTTTGCAGGGCTGATCTCACAATATGTCTGTCCTCTTTGGCGTTAGTTATAGGAGTGCGCTGAGGTTCTACATGCTGTTCAGTACGATCCTTACCAACTCATTGATTCCATATTCGCATGACACTGGTTGGATGTCGAGCAGTCCGATTGGCGATATCACGGAACAATAATCCATACTTTCGATAAGCAACGATCTTGCCTCTATAGAATTCCGACGTTTGCTGATAAGCATTGCTTTTTATTATTCGTGGCGTAACATGATATTCTGAGCAAACCCCGACCTTGCAAAAGTAAAATATTAAAAGTGTAAAAGGGTGTAAAGGATTCACATTGAGCGTTAAATATTAGAGAGTCTGAATTTTAAACGACTGAGCAAAAAGCAGAACGCTCTTTCTTACCTGTGGTAGAAAGGTATTAAAATTTATTTATTATAAAACTAAAAATTATATTTCTGTAATTAACAAGAGCCACATTTAATTCAAAAACGGCATCCTGATTACCTTTTCGGTTATATTACAATGGCAATTTGTTTTGACTCATCAAAAGTGTCTCTGCTGCTATGGCCTTTCGTCCATACCTTTATCATCATAAACAATAGTTGGATATACCAATCTCGGAAAACGGTTTCTTTTATAAAGGCATGGGTATTATTAATGCCCAAACCACCTTTAACTGTTCATTTATTCAGAAAAAAATATAAATAATATAAAACAAAATAAAAACGAAATTTTGTATTAAGATTTCTTAAATATCTAAACTAAAAATCCACTATAATTAATCTGTCCCTAATTTATCGTTTAATAACTTAGAAGAATATGTTTTGTTTCTAAAATATTCAAAAATATCAGTCATGACAAACACGCTATTCCGAGATCTTTAAGAATAAATAAAGTTCGACAAATTAAACAATGTGAATCACTAAAAGAATATTCAACACATTCGAAACGAAGGTGGAAAATATTGAGCTGTTAAGTAATCAATGACTGACTGACAAAACAATTAGTTTTTTGCTTTCGTAAAATTATTTTTGCTTCCAAAAAAGTACATATACATTTCCTATTGATTATGTGATGCATTTTCTTGTAGCAAAACCTATCAACTCGTCATCAGCACCAATAGGTATGATAACTATGTTTCAATGTCCGTTAATCTGTCGGTACGTCCCAAACTTCCAATCGGCCAAGTGATCGTAGCTGTTTGCGTTCTTATAGGTCTTTATATTCTCATCATATTTGAGGTAAGTGTAGTTTCCAATTCTTTGTTAAATTTTTAAGATAATCTTTGTGTGGTATTTACGTGTCAACTCAAAGATCTTGGAGCAATCTGGCGATGTTTTACAGGAAAATATTTAAAAATGTTAGAGAATGTTAATCTTGCCTTATTTATTCGTCTTGATAATGAAAATAATTTCTTATAATTTTTTACAAAATTGTTTTGGATACTGTTTCTCAAAATTTCTGTTTAACTAATTTGCTCCATTTTTAAAATAGACAAATTGTAACTCTTTCTGAATCTGTTATTTTTTTAATTAAATTCAAGGTAAATAAAAATATTCATTCATAAAATATAATCTCTAAGTATATGGGGAACAAAACATACTGGTCACAGTCTAGCATACCTAAACTACTACAGAACAAAATATACTGGTGTCATCCAGTCCACTCTTGAAACTTTCATTTGAAAACTAAATTTGTAAACTAAAATTTATCTATTAAATTATTTTTTGAAATTATTATTATATGTTAAATGCACCATGGTATGATTTTTATTTTGGAATCTGTAAGGAATTTACCGCTAAAATTTTATCCCATTATTACTTTCACACATTGAACTATTGTATTCTTATGTTTCTAAGTTACATCAACAACATTACAACTTGAATCTTAATTTGGCATTCATGCAGACAGATGTACATAATATTGAGGGTAATGATTTCCAGCTTAATAAATTAGAGGAGGATGGAATGTTATTACATGACAATTTTTCTTGCTGTTCTGAACATTCAGTCGCTAATTGTTTTCTAATTCTGGTTAAATAATTTCTATTGCAAATAAACAATGTATTTTTCACAACATTCATACTTCTTTTATATTATTCGTACTTATGATTTTGTTTTACTTAACATGATATAAGAGCAGAAAATGTTTTTTTGACAAAGCTAATAGTAACTATTTTACACTATCCTGGTTTCTAAAATATTTACACAAAAGCATTTTTACGCAACGGAGAAATCTTGTAAGCGGGAGAGAGTTTGGATCTTTCAGGAGCTGGTGACGGAAGGCGGAAATACCTGTTGTCTAACATAGGTAAACAGTTGTATGTCCAACGCTCTCCCCAACCAAGAGCAAGAGCTCCTAGGGACAACAAGAGAGCAGCCCCGGGAGTTCATATACACTGTTGGCCACCTTAAATGCAGCACCCTGAAGGAAGCATTCAAATAACATGAAATTTACAACATGCATTAGCGGATGTGAGATATGCAAATGATTAGAATTTCAGTGCAGAATCGTATCACGCGCGCCTGTGGCGCCACTTCAAACCGCTATTTAAGGCTTGGAGTTTTCGACGATTTCAAGTTCGGCAATTGTGTTTTTCTTGTGTTCTAAAAAAACGATCAATTATGCCTCGTAGTAAACAGCGATCATCGTTTGATCAAATATCCGAGTTCGGCAGAGGAAGGATAGTGGCCTACCGAGAGTATGGTTTATCTTTCAGGGAAATCGGTAGTCAAACAACTGTAATACGGATATGTGACCGTTGGATGCAGGAGGGTACGACGGACCGACGTGTTCGATCGCATCCACCTCAGTGCACCTCTTCACGTGATGACAGGAACATCTTGAGCATGGCAGTGACGGATCGCTCAGTCACATCACGAACATAGCACAGCCCATTCAGTCAAACGCATCAGCCATCAGCCAGTGTCTGTGCGTACCATTCCACGCCGTTTACAATAGAGTGGTCTGTTCGCAAAACGTCCATTGCTTCGTCTACCCTTGACGCAGAACCACAGATGTTTCCGCCGCCAACGGTGCGATGAAAGAAGGATGTGGACGGCATAATGGAATGAAATTGTCTGTACTGACGAGTCACGCTTCTGTCTGCAACACCACGATGGTCGGATTCGAGTCTGGAGACATCGTGGAGAAAGAATGCTGAACAGCTGTGTCATGCGCCGCCACATTGGTCCTGCACCGGGTATTATGGTATGGGGCGGTATTGGATAACACTCTCGCACTCCTCAAATACGCATTGTCGGTACTTTAAGCAGCCAGGGCTACATCTCCGAGGTGTTGGAGCCAGTTGTCCTTCCTTACTTTCAGGGCTTGCCCACAGCCATATTTCAACAGGATAATGCGGGACCACACGTGGCACGCATTGTCAAAGGGTTCTTCGTCAAGCGCCAGATTTAATTGCTTCCCTGGCCGGCTCACTCTCCGGATCTTTCGCCGATAGAAAACATGTGGTCCATGGTTGCTGAACAGTTGACCCAGATTACATCCCAAGCTGCCACATCAGATCAACTTTGGCAATGAGTGGAATTTGCTTGGTCTGCTGTACCCCAAGAACACATCCAAAGTCTCTTTGAATCAATGCCGAGGCGTGTGGCACCAGTGATCTCCAACAATGGGCGGCTACTCTGGCTACTGATTTTAGAAGGAACCACACTGCACAGAAGTCTATAAATTTAATCATTTGATACTTGGTCAACATGCTAAATAAATTTTGTTGTGATATCTCTTGCCTTTCTTGGTGTTGCAATTTGGGTGGCCAGCAGTGTATTTTAATCATAAAGTCTCACATAGCTATTTTATTTTACATTGGTCATAATGGCATTCGTAGTACAGAAATCTTTGAAGAGCTTATCAGCAGAAGGTTACACGTTACGTTATTTCTTTTAATCTTAAAAATTTTTTATCATTTAAGTTTCCTAATTCACCAACCAGCGGCCGACCAATGAAATCTCTGAACTCTGGTAGTTCTTTTTCGAGGGCTCGATTGCCGACGAATGGACTAACTACATGAAAGTTTTCGTGATTTTTCTCATCTGTAGCGCACCAGCTTGCTTTAAAAAGTCCTCTCTTTGGCGGATACCATTGTGTGCGTCGCCATAGTAAAAAAGTTCCGAAGTTAAAAACTATTTTTTTTACCAAAACTGTTTGAATGGTATTATTAAATGACTCTGTGTAAAATATTCTGAAACTGTAAATATTTTAAATTTGTTTTAATAGCTTAGTACCTTAATGGGCAAAATGAAACTAACACTCTATTGGCACCAGCAATTTATCAAATAAAGTGCTCTCTTGGAAATAAGCCAAGCATTTTATAACATCGAAACTTCCCAAGCACTGTTTTAGATTGGTATTTTGCTGCAACAAATCTTCATTTATAAATTATCTCTCCATCATTCTTTTTATTTTCGCTTTATTAACTTTCGACTTATTTGGAAGACTGCTCATAAAAACTGACAAGAAACTCTGACGATTCATCAATCTTAACGTTTTTGTGCCATTTTCTTCCTTCGATTTTCCCCTTCTCATTGTTTCTAAGTTTGAAGAGGCCAAAAGTGAAATCATTTTATCTGCCTGGGGTATAAGAAACTTCTGTGATAAACAAAAGCGATGTTCGCAAAACTTTTCAAGAAGTTAGGAGAAGGAAATTCAGAAATGTTCAATTACCCAACTTCAAATATTCGAAAAATACAAAAGAAGTACTCATATACTAATTAAATTAGTATACTCCACAAATACAAACTCATATACTAATTAAATTAGCAATGTATTATTTTACAATTTCTACATTATTTTACAGGCATGATTCTAATACATATTTCCAGGTATTACTTATGTGAGATGCATATTTAACTCTACAGTAATACCCAAATAATTCAAGATATTTCCCAACATGTAATGCATACTTAAATTTGCGTTACTAATATTATTTCGATATCATATGTTAAATTTTCTTAGAGAAAAATAAAGCTCATTTCTCATTATTATGCGATTATCCAATGCAATGTTCAGTGACGAGTTCTGGTTTACTCTAACGTAGATCTCGTTATTACCGAAAAAGCATCGCGGAAAGACATTTTCCTTCGAAAGGAGTCATGGTGTAGGCAGGCATAATGCCGCATGGTCACAAAACCTCCACGTCTTTGACAGGGAGTCTGTTACGGTTAAAAGGTACAGAGACGAAGTTCTTGGGCGTTATATTCGCCTATTTCGAGGTGCTGTCAGTTTTGGATTCATAGTCATGAATATAACGCTCTTTGTCACCGTGCAATTCTGGTCAACTACTTCCTTGAAAGTGAAAATATGCAGTGCATACAGTGACCCGCTCATTCTTCTAATCTTAATCCTATTGAGCATGTGTGGGATATACTCGGGAAACTAACTGCAGTCCATTTGCATTCACCAAACTTAGTTCCAGAACTGAAAAGAGCTCTCCTAAATGCTTGGAAGTGTTTGTGGTCACAACTCATCCATGTTATCATAGCACACATGGGCAGTCGTCGCTACCAGAGGCGACCACGTTATTAAATTGCTAAATAACCTTTTTATTTCAATTGTTTTCACTAAAGTACATACTATTAGTTTGCATTGTTTTCTTCCAGACTGTTTCTTTGGATAGTAAAATTAATATCCTTCTTTTGCATTATATTCTTATGGTATAACTGTACTACCCTCGAATATCACGTTTCTCAACATTCTGACTTACATTTCCTTAAATATTCACATAAATATCAATTATATTTAACTTCTGGACTTTATTTTTAGTTTAACTGCAGTCTGCACTTGACATTTCTGATGTGGAGTTGAACAGGAAGAAATGAAAATACCACAAATTTATAATCTCCTGTTTTTTCTCTTCCAGCTGGTGCATCGAACTTTAGCAGCAATGGTAGGAGCTACTACAGCAATTTCTTGTCTAGCACTCTTTGGTGAAGTAAGTGCATTTTTAATATATTTTCCTGTGTTTTGTTTTACATTTTATTCTAAATTGTAGAAAACATTTCCGAACTATGTGGCGAATAAATTGTAAATTAGATAGTCTTGAATAAATTTGTTTGAGCTGAGAAGCAATCTGTGAGCTGAAAAGCAATAAATTTTAAATAAAAATTTTAAAATCTTCTCTTGAAATACCATACATTGGAATTCCGAATCGCAAACTATTTATCTCGATAAATTTTGTCGTATGAAATTACCAAATGCGGAATTAGAGCTAATTTTTTCGAATAAAAAATGTCTGACAGATTTTATAAATTTAAATGCTTAGTTTGACTTGAAATTATAATTTAAGAATCCTTTGTTATTTTATCTTACTCTTCCAGTTCAAACAAATCTTCTACTAATGTATATGTTCCTGATTCTTTGCACGTTCTTTAATAAAATCCATTTCACTTGTTACAGAAACAAGTATATTTTACACCATATGTTTAATATGGAAGGGCTCCTGAGATCACAGTATTTTTTCTGTTACTTGAACAAACGCAAAAAAACTTCTTAAAAATTCATAAACTTTTTACATTCAGCTAAAATTAATCCAAATCATTTTTATAGATATAAATAACGTTTTGGGTAAAAGAAATTGTAACTAATATCTGGTGAATAATGTTTTATTAATGTCTTTTGCAGACTCTAATAATGCAATACTTCTTTTGGAAATAAGAAATATATTTTACCGTGAAAGACCGAAATTGGAGAATGTCGACTTTCACCAGAGAATGTCAACATTCACCAAATACGTCGGTGAAAGATCGAATATTTCTTTACATTCTTGTACATTCGGACTCTCACCGGTGTATGTCGACAATCACAGATATGCTCTGGTGTAGGTCGAAAAGAGAAGAGTATATGTACTGCCATTTCAAAAGGAAGTGTTCCACAAATAAATGCAGTTGTAAAAGCAAGGGCCTCTTGTGCAATTCAAAGTGTCATAATAGTTTAAGTTGTTGCAATAAATAAAAATTTTAATCACATAATTTGGTAAGTTTATAACTTATATTATTTTCCTTTCTCATTTTGAATGTACCGTGTGTTTTAAGTTATGTTCTTAAGTTCTTATTCTGAGTCGCAAGTGCGTTTTTTCGCAAATGAATTACGGAGAAGGAAATATAATATTATATGTTCAACATTCACCATTAGTACATGGTGAATGTCTACATTCACCGGTGTAAGTCAGAAATAAGTGTATTTGGAAAATATTTCGGATATACACCAAGCGACTATGTGAATGTTGACATTCACCGGTGAAAGTCGACATTCTCCAGATTTCGGTGTAGTCTTTAGGTATATCTTTTTAGGCATTTGTCTTCCGAAACGGTGACTACACCATTTCCTGATATTGAAAGGAAAAATCAATTTCTCTATCCTCTAATATAATCCAGAAATCTTCAGTTATTTTGAGATCAAAAGATTCTATAGGCCGTGAATGATGTTTAATCTCATTTGCATCCTCATAGTTTTGTGGTGTGAAAGGGATTATTGCTATCTGGGTATACGGCAATTCTTTCGAGACACAGAGTTTGAAACACTAAGCAGGTATAATTCCATAGAGTATGTTAATACGCCTTTGAAACATGATGGAATCTTAAAAACAATAAAAAAATCCCAAACTTCTATAATATCGTATTTCAAACCGTCGCTGACTCATTTTAATGCTTCGCTTTTGAGCTCGAGGTAATCCGGGTGCGTTCAAAGTTCTCCAATTAAAATCTCAAGGAAAAACACATGAAGGTAGACGCATCGCTGGTCAGTACTCAGTTTGCACTATGAAACATCCAAATACAGCTCTTATAACACGAATAACATCAGTATAAAACATTATAGCTGTTATAAAAGATTATTACAGTTGCTTGACCTTGAAACCTGTAGTGAAACTCCCGACAGTCCTGGTGAAAATACGCCCACCAGCGGCCGAGCGGTAACGTCGCTGTACACTGGTAGTTCGGTTCGAGGTCCGAATCCCGCAAACGGGCTGGCTGCATGGGTGTTTTCTTATAGTTTTTCCCATGTATAACGTGTATACGAGCTAGTTTCCCTTAAAATGTCCTCCACGAAGGCATCCCTCCCTTAAGGCAGATAGCCCTCGAGTGCTTTGCCGTAATCTAATAAACCAAACCAAACCAAGCCTGGTGAAAATACAATACTGAATTCTGCCGTTATTTGAGATACCGCTATTTTTTTCTTTTTTTTTTTTTTTTTTTTCCGTTACTATTCTATTTAATGGATATTTTGCTTCAGATAATTTCCTTATATCAGTTACTCTGATAAGACTAAGTCATCTCTTTACTACCATAGTAAACATTATTCTTGATACCATAGTTTCTCAGAATTTAACAGCCCTTGCTGAACGGTAGTGGTGTGTCAGTTGAAGATGGAAAATCAATTTATCTCTTTTTGAACCCCAAAATATCCTCCATTTATGTTCGATATTTCTCAGTGTTTTAAATCATTAATTATAAATCCACTTCATATTCAAGCTTCGGGCTCTGTTACTGAGAAAATTCAAAATCTTTGTTCCCACCTGGAAGTTCTATACATACCTTTACATTTGAGCTGCTGTATTCGCCGAATGTTTCAGTTCCATTTACCAATTCCTATATCATGTACTAATTAAAATTTTACGCCTATATTTTGTAATAAATATTGTTTGATTAAAACAATTTTAAATGATCATCTATTTTATTGCAAAGTTCACAATACTGCGATCTAATGCACATATTATATACTTTGATCTACATTAACTGAATAGCTTCTTTAAAAGAACGTTTTACTGTGTGCTAAATACATGTCTTCTGTCTCAGAGCTTTGCATTACTTTGCCTAACCCCTGTACGTCATATGTTAAGTATGGGAAATTTTAATTCTTTTATTGATATTGCAAATAAAAGTTACGAAAAATATAACGGAACAAAATTATTCACTTGGATTTGAATCCATGTCCAACTACCATTGTTAAGCGATTTTGTCTCTTGGGCGCTTTTGATCCTATCCTCAAATGGAAACCAATTTAACAGGACTTAACAGTGTTTTAATTCCATTCTATTGCCGTGCATCCGTTACTACGCTGCTATATATTTTATTGTTTTGCATGAGTAGACATTTTAAACCTTTTGAATCTTCTAAATCTGACTTATTGAAACATTTCAAACTTAATTCTTTAGTGGACTTCTTTGCACGCGTTTCAGTAAAACACGAATATTTAAACATTCCCTTTAATGGTTGTTTCTGATGTCAGAATTTTATAGTTCTCAGACCAACTATTATGCGTATGACACTGAGGCTCAATTTTCCGAAATTACTGAAAATAATATATTCGGTTCTAAATTATTCAGTAAAATACTGAGGACTTAATGCCATTTACGAAAAGTTAGTACTGTTAATGGTTTCAAAATAATGCTAACTAATGTAATCCTGTTATTGAAATAGAAAAGATATTGGAATGTTTATGTAATAATGTAAATGCAAAGTGTAGCATTATAATTAAGATACTATGCATTTAATAAAACTGCAGTTAATTTATTACAGCTTCCTTTAATAGTAATTTTAAATACTTGCTTCTACACTGTTTATAAGAATATACGACTATTAAATGTTTAATTGGAAAAGATGAGGAATTAGACCTATTAATGTCCTCAGATTACGAAACTCACTAAGATTACTAGAGCTGAAATACGCATGTATCATTTTTAATTATTTGTGGTGAGAGAATATAGTTCTGCATAACGTTTTTACACAAGAAAAGTAAAAGATTTCCGTTGGCACCGCGTGCGTATTGTACTTATTTACTTGCCTTAAACTCTCTGAATGCATATGATGGAGTGTTGATTATTGTGTAAATTAATGATCAGTGTAAAATTATTTTCCAAATGGAGATTTTATTCACATTTTACAGAATTCGTTCCATAGAAAATGCTGGCAGGTTTCAGTGCTGACAGGTAGCCAAGTGGCAATATTATTTTAATTAATTAAAGAAAATATTTGTACCTTAATGAGTGAGTGAGTGAGAGATTATGGCGCAAAAACCAAAGATGATTATAGCGCGCCAAACACGAGATGGGATGATTACAATTGATGACTTAAAATTCAATAAATAAACAAGTAGACAAATGTACCAAATCCAAAGATTGAAGTCATATAAAAACAAATTAAAAGCACATATTAAAATTCAAGACACAGTCTTCAAAACAAATTACATCTGGTAATAAAAGCCAGTCTCTTTCAAATAATAAAACAAACCACAATTGACCTCTCTTCCAATTAAACGGTCGAGAGGCAAGTCACAGCTATTAAAATATTTCTGGCGAAGCCTATTAAAACATGGACACTCAATTAAAATATGACGAACAGATAAACAAACATTACAGTTAAAACAAACAGGCTCATTTTCAGGTTTTAAAAGGTAGCTATGTGTCACTCTAGTGTGACCAATTCTGAGGCGAGTCAAAAGAACTTCCTCCTTTCGATTTTTTGGTTAATTCCCAGTGCTCAATTCTAGGTTTTACATGTCTTAATTTATTTTTGAAGCTGAACGTCCCAAAGTTGATGCCATTTTTTCGGATCTTCTGTTTCACAACACAACAGATGTCTGCAAAAGGGATGAGACGACTGGACAGTTCAACAGCACATTTTGCTGTGATATCTGCCAGCTCATTCCCTTTTATTCCCACATGCCCGGGAACCCAGCAGTACACTGTACCTTAATGATTTTTATGTACTATGATCAGATTATAAATCTAAAGGAATGAAACTTCATGAGAATATTGTATTTTAGACTTAATAATATTTAGAAAAATTTCGAAATTACTTGTGTGATAATTCTGTCGGCATGGAACAAAATTGTAAGTTAAACGCTCTAGTAAATCACTAAAGATTACCGCTGAATGGAATTGAATGGAAAAGAGAATTATTATCAAATTATTCGAATTAATGATCCTTCAATGTAAACTGAAAATAATACAAAATCGCAACTTTTTAAACAAACCTTTTTGTGTTTTATTTTGTATGACGAGCACAAAATTTTCCTAAATATAAGAAGGCCCACCAGCGGCCGAGCGGTAATGTCGCTGAACACTGGTAGTTCGGTCCGAGGTTCGATTCCCGCGAACGGGCCGGCTGCATGGGCGCTTTCGTGGTTTGTTCCATGTGTAACGTTTATGTGAGGCAGTTTTCCTTAGATTGTCCTCCGCGAAGGCATCATTCCCTTCAGTAGGCCTTGAGGCTTTTTCGCAATTAAATAAACTAAGTATAGGATCAGACCATAAAAATGTCTGATTTCATAAATTAGTGTAAAAATGCCAAAATATGAAAATTCGCTTTATTTGAAACATTTTTATGACTGGAAGTGCATGTCTTCGACTAGCAGCTGCGAAAATAAAGGGCGAGTATAAAACGTCTGTTGGCACAGTGTACGTACTTTCAAATTGTAAACGTAGTAGGTATATGAAGCATTTTTGTAATAATTTATTAACATGTTTCTTCTAATTTTTAGCGACCATCGTTAGACGAAGTTTTGAGCTGGGTAGACGTAGAGACACTGAGCCTTTTGTTTGGGATGATGGTTTTGGTGTCAATTTTATGCGAAACTGGGTTTTTTGACTATGTAGCTGTCTTGGTAAGTAAGAGAAACATTGTATCTAAGTATGATTAATTTAAGATTGAAAATTCTATTTCAAAATTGGAAATTTTATGTTTTTATAAAAAAATTTAAGATTTAAAACTCTATTTTAAAATGGGAAATTTTATTTGTTTATAAAAATAAATAAAAAAATTAATTAAAATAAAACTTGCTTGCGTTGAGTTTTGAGAAAGTTGCAATACTGAACGTATGTTTTTATAAAGCTAAAATTTTTATTAGTAAATTTCCTAAAAATTTATCATAAATGAGCAAAACATCTTTCATAATTTATCTCGTTCTTCTTTATACATACAGACTATTCGAAAACGATGACTATATTCTCTTAAGATCTGACGCTGTGCATGCAAATTTAACTGCAACAGTTTTACCAAAAGAATGTAGAATATTGTGCGTATAGCATTTCAGTGCGGAGGATTGGAAACTTTACTTGTAAAACATTTAGATATTAAAGAAGGAATTTATTAATGTAAATTAAATTTTCAATAGTTATTTTTGAACATCTTTAATTTGATTTTAGCAAAAAACCCAAGCAAGTTTTAAGAAAACCAAGCAAGAAAATTTACTTGCTTTGGGATTAGTTGCTTTGTATTCAGTAAAACATAACCCAATATTGAATCCATTACATATTTTATGAGTTATTCTTTTTGTTAATAACTTGCCGTCAGTCAAGATCGCTTTGCAGTCAGTAATATACTAATTTGGAATCCATTGATTAACTAAACATTGCTGTGAATTTTGCATGTTAATGTTCGGAACCATTTTATCTTGATAAATCATAGTAAACATTTTATTAACCCTTTGTGAACTGAATTATTTAAAGATTTTTATGCGCGTAGGACGTATTTAATTTGTCGCTATATGGATTAATATGTAAAAGTAATACGTCGTATCATACAGCTCTAGTTCTACTTTATTGGATCTATCATTTTCGCAGTCATGTAATGAACTATTTTATTTCAGGCATCTTAGAGTAGCGTATCAAAAAAACAGGGGTAATAATAAAGATAAATGGAATTAACCCTATTTTCACCTGTAACATGTCATAAACGAACGTCAAGCAATTTTTTGCGATCAACACTCGGTGCCGGGTGTGCCGCAAACATCAACGCCTGCTTTTTAACTCAGATGACGAGTTAGACTCGTCCACCTTAACTCCGCCCAAGTAAGCAGATCACAGGTTTCACTCGTCAAATGTACCCAAAGGGTTAATACGATTTTTTGCTACATGTTAGCCCTTTTCAAAGTTAGATTTTGCATTTGCGGAATTGTCTTATTTTCAGCATTATAGATTTCGGAAAACTGTACTCGTTTTTTGAAAAATTTCTCTTTTGAACGGGCGGATGTATGATTAATACTATTTAAAGAAATACGTGTGTAGCCACCTTTATCGAACATCTTCTATAACGTACGTTTCAGTGCATTTACGAAAGCAAAATAATAAGCATCAATGACATAAATAATAGTTAATTAATAATTAATAGGTAAGCTGTACAAATAATATGAAAAGCAAAATCAGAATATAAATTTTTGGACTATATGAACGTTAATAAAATGGACGAGAAACGCGTCAAAATAAAATCTAAAATTAGGCAGAATAAAATTATTTTGGAGTGGGTTTTGAAAGAAAGACGCAGATCGTCCCTAACGTTTTCAAAATTCTAATATCTTAGTTTTTCACGTTTTATTAATATTAACATAATTTATTAATATGTTTCTTTCTAGATGGTACTCGTTCTTCTTTCCGAATAAAAACTGTCGTCTCTCCTCCCATTTTCCAAAACTTTTTTCCTCATGAAGATCTATGTCTGGCCGCCCTTAGACATCAACAGTTTTATTCAAAAAAAGAAAGTCTCTGTCCAAATAAGGTTACTTTGTTTTTCAAATTTTCATAGCTTGAAAAACGATACATTAAACGAAGAAAGTACAATTTTCTTTTCATTGTTTTTAATACGCATTTGGCTTGCAGAAGAGGGAAATTTCATCAGATATTTGAATGGAATTCAGTATTTGGAGTTCTTTCTGTGCTGTTAAGAATGAAATTCTGTTCGGTGATTATTTTTTTCTTTTTGTCAAAAGGTTTTTCTACACGTGTATGAAACTGCACTAGAAAGAGAGGACATACAAAAATATTGTTCAAGCAAAAAGAATTGTTCAGTATTCAGGTTATTTCGAGATCCTTTTCTTCGCTCGGAGAATATGTTTTGAACCACTTCTTTTCAGATAATGCTCGTATTTTGTACACTTATCTTGCAGTTATACTTCTTCCTTTGTTGGCAAAGATTTCTTTTAGGCTTTTATTGAATATTTCTCTAGTTCAGAATGCTTCATCATCCGTGCTTCAGTGATTTTTTTCTAAAAGTTATATCTCCACTTTCTGCTTCCTATGAACTGCAGCAATAAGGGAAGCAATTAAATCGGAGCGGACAAACTGAAGCTTCCATGTGTCTTCAAAATTATAATATCCTTATTTAATTCGAGTGCCTTATAAAAAATAATGTTCCAAAAGAAATGTATATGATTCAAATATTTTACGGTGCCATTGCAATCTATCCGTCAAAAACTGGAAAAGAATATGAAGCAGATTTGGCACAGAAATTTCGAATTGCATTTATTCGATAACTGTTTTCTCTTTAAAAATAGAACATTTTTTGCAATTCAGTAAAATACATTACTAAAACATTCCATAAGCTGCACTGCATAATTATACCGTATAGTTAATAACATTGGATTGAAGGTGAATTAATGTTTGATGCAGACTTCAGCTCTAAATATTTCAAGGTAGTAAATATTTGAAAGAAGTTTTAAAATTTTATAAAAAAGGAAAGATGCCGGTAATGACTGAAATTTTAGAATTTACCTGGTTTAAAAATTTACATGTTTAAAAAAATGTTCCGCTGCATTAAATACATATGTCACAAATTATTAAAATCATAACACCATTCAAATAAGAATTGAATTACAAAAGTGTACAAGTAATAAATTGATATATTTGCTATTGAAAAAAGTTAAACTTATGTTATGAACAATGACTTAAGATAGATTCAAGTCACAAAGGGCTTTCACAGCCTTTGGCCCAGGAACCTTTGGCTAGAAACCAATCAAATCGCAATAGCATAAACATTTGCTATTGAAAAAAGTTAAACTTATGTTATGAACAATGATTTAAGATAGATTCAAGTCACAAAGGGCTTTCACAGCCTTTGGCCCAGGAACCTTTGGCTAGAAACCAATCAAATGGCAATAGCATAAACAAAAATAATGCATCATTTTTTAATTTGGAAAAAGTACGCTTTCCTGTTTGCTTGGTGGTAAAAGACTGTTAGAGGTGTAATTTACAATAACCTAACATAACCAACCAAAGTTGCGGAATTCCTTATTTAAAATATTTAAAGTGTAGATAGTAAGTCTCATTAATAAGCTGAAAATAAGCATTCATTAAAAAACTGCAAAAGCAGAAAATTTGTTACGTATGTCTAGATTTTTTATTGCTCAAACTGCAAATTTGTTGAAATAGTGACATCTTCACTACACAGTTTCCTTTCTTTATGAAGAATCCATATCACTGGAAGAGTAGAAACGCGAGATAGAAATTTATTTTCCAGTATTCATGTTGCATAAATTAACTAATTTGAATAATTTTAAAATATTTTATAGTCAGGAAAAATTATCAAAGTTTATTATGTTTGCAATACATTCAAAATGGTATTAAAAATTTAGACATTAAGTATAAGCATCAATCAATTTGCATTATGAATACTCTGTTATTAAAGAAAATAGTTTTCAATATGAACTCAAAATAACATAAAAAGTGTAACGTTAAATGGTGTTGTAATGCAAATAAAAATATTTACTATTGTAATAATGACTAATGAAACTGATGAGTTAATGTTAAATAGGGGTAAAATTACAGAAATGGAATTTGCTGGTTATCCATACCTCCTCGAAAGTATTCACGAAGTAACACACTATGTCTTCAAACTGCAGCCCTGATATTGTCAAACTGTATTTATATGGAAGCCATGTAGGCCATATGCGTTTGTGCACATGCATCTCTACCTTTCACATTCGACGATGATTACTCTAATTGGATGATTTTTTAAACAATCATTAAAGTACTATGGAGTTTGCCGGCTTATGAAAAAAGGCTTTGCATTTCTTCAGAAATATGGCTTTTTGTTCAATAGTAAAGATTGCAAATTTCGCATTCCATGAACTTGTATTTCTTAAATTTTCAAATTTTATAGAAAATGTTAGAATGCGAGATTGGTTGAAAGATAACCATACCTCGTTTATAACATCTATTCGCTTCCTTTTATTACTGAATTTTGCCAATTCTGCGACGTGTTTTAAGCGAAAACAGATAACTGTGTACATGGAGAGGAAACGAGCATCTACAAATCCAGGTTTGTGGGTGATGCCAACTTTTTACAATTCTCTGATGTTTTTTAAGAGAACAGATCTCTGTGTAGCGCAAAAAATTACATAAGTTCTTAAATTGTAAGTATTTTATTACAAATGTGTTTCTTGATTTTCTTTTATCTTATTGCCTCTTTTACGGAGTTATTACTGCACCGCCAGTTTGAAAATGGCTTTTGCATATTAGCTTGGCGAAACATTAGTCGCCAATAAGTTCGCAACTTTTCAGATTGCTCGGATAATTCAAGTTCCCAGAAATGTATAAAAATAAGAATTTGAATTAAAATTGTTAATAGCATAAGAAATGTAGCTCAAACAATCATTGTATTTTAATAATACAATGATTGTTTGAGAATATAAGTATGGCGAATAAAGTGTTGTTTCAAAATCGCAGCAGAACAGACCTCTGAATTAATTATTCCTTTTACTTTCCTTATAATAAAGATAATACCCAACACAACTAACAGCAAAGATGATATTTTTTAACATTTTATTACGGAATGCTTTATGTAACTCTCAAGGGGCCATGTGACTTGGTATAAGAAAGAGAACATTTTCGA